TTTTCTTTCTCCTATTAACTGCATTCTTTTGGCTAATATCCTACAATACAAAAAACAAAAATTGGGTTGTTAGCCAAAAACGACAAACAACTCAGGCACCACTTATTCCATCACCACACACACCAACACCAACACCAACACAACCAATTTTGCATTTTCATGTCCTTAAGGTCTTTCTGTGTTAACACAATATTAACACATAAAATAATTTAACTATCAACAAACACAGTATTAACATGCTCAACCTAATTGTCTAAGCCTAACAGTTAAATGAACCAATTTTAATCACCTACTCCTGAATATTTTGGATTAAAGAGTTAATTTAGTAACTCAAATTTAATGTTGAGGTCTATAAAATAATCAGGATTCACATGTTTTCAGTTTCCATTTTTCATATCTATTTTACATAACTATAAATAGAACTTGTTCTTTAACTAAACTTTGGATTGATGACTATTAAAGTTATTCAATCTAAGGTAATACAAACAAACAAGTTTAACAGTTACTTTTTAGTCCTAATTTGGTGTCAGGAATTAATTTTTCTTTTGTTGGACACTAACATTTCAATACAAAAAGTTGGTAATACTTACATCTTAGCCTTTTCATTTTTCACGTGATTTGTTCTTAATTAGATTGAAAAGATTGCAATAAACAATAGAATCTTCCCAATCACAAAAGTAAATTTCATGAATTGATAAGAATAAAAAAGGCTGATTCTTAGTCACAAAATTTGATCCTTGCAACAGTTGCACTATTAAAAGTTTCCAGCCTTTGCTCACCCCTTCCTATGGTACTTGAAGAATCCTAAAAAGTTTATGAAAGGATATGTTTTCGAGATCACAATTTTCTCCGTGATATATAGCAATCAAACATCCTAAATCACATATTACTCATAATAATATTTTAAACTATAAACTAATAACCGACAATAGTCGTGTATAAGTGTCACAGCTACAATCCACTAACTAACCTATTAATCTTGGTGCATATGAAAATTAATACCATGTGTATTTATATGACAATTAACATCATATGTACTCAAAGATACGATATCAATTTCCGCATCGTGACAACTTAAGGCATAATATCAACATAACATCATATACTTGTGAAAGTTGCTCCAGGAAACAAAAAATTTCATTAGGGGAGTCAACATGTAAAACAATGCGTATCAATTTAATTTTAAAACAATATTTCTTTAGGAAACACTTAATTCGGAAACCAGATATCATATTCATATGCCTCCTGTTTGGATTCTGTAATCTAAAATAAACCAACATAATGTTCGTTTGAACTGTTATCTTCATTTTGATAGCTGTTTTGATAGCTGTTTGAATACCCCTATCGTGACTGTCACAGAACGGCATTGTACTAATAACCGACAAACAGTTGTTTTCTAGTTCTGATTTATTTTAGAGGGAGTCCCAAAAATTATTGAGCAAAATAAATAACTTACTTGAATATGAGTATCTTTCCAATATACTAACAATTTCTTGAAATGAACTTCAGATATGCTCTTTGGACGGTGTTTTAATCTATCCTTCATATTAGAGTACTTTAGAAAATGATCTTTCTTGATAGAGTATTTGTGGCGTCTCCAAGCATCGTTTATTCGAGCATACACTGCTTTTTTTTCCTCTCTCTGGAATGTTGAACTTCGTCTGCAAGAATAAAACAATGTTTGTCATCAATTATAGATACTTGATCATTAAAAAAATATGAAATTTTACTTCTCATACATTAATATATTTCCAAATATGATAATTATGACGCTTAGGATCTATTTCATCTTTAAGCAACTCTTTGAAGTTTGTATAGATCAATGGACAAAAATTTGCATAGTTCCGAGGAAATAGCCTAAGTCAGAAACAATTTGGTCATCAGGTCCAATTGGCTCTCCAAAGTCATCTAGAGTAACTTCTTGACGGTCTTTGACATCTCTTGCATATATGTGTCTACTCCTAATTCCCATAACTCCTTTAACTCCTCAATTAATGGTTGAAGGTACACATCAATGTCATTCCCCGGTGATTCTGGCCCACGAATCAACAAGGACAACATTGTATATTCAGATTTCATGGACAACCAAGGAGGGTAGTAGTATACTACCATCATGACAGGTCATGTACTGTGTGATAAGCTCATGGTCCGGAATGGATTAAAGCCGTCACTTGATAAGCCAAGTCTTATGTTATGAGGCTCAGAAGCAAAGTCATGATGAAGTCTATCAAAATCCCTCCATGCTTGTCCATCCGCAGAATGCCTTAATTTTCCATCTTTTGAGCGTTCTTCTTCATGCCACCTCATTTCCTTTGCTGTCTTTGAACACATAAATAACCTTTGAAATCGTGGAATCAATGGAAAATGTCTCAAAACCTTAGTAGGGACTTTATGATCATATTTCGCATGCTCAGAAGACTCGCTCTCTACTTGAGGAAACTCCTTCCATCGTGAAGCCTTACAAATATTGCAAGAGTTATCATTCTCGTGTTCTTTCCAATATAACATGCAATCATTCGGACATGCATGAATTTTTTTTGTAATAGAGACCTAAATCACTAATCATCGCCTTTGTTTTGTTAAAAGATTCAGGAATATTTAATTCTGGAATCGCTTCTTTCAATAATTCTAAAAGGGAAGTGAAAGATGCATTGCTCCATCCATGCAGACACTTCAACAAGTAAATTCGAATTATGAACGATAGAGTAGAGAAGCTTTCACATTCGGGGTATAACTTTTATTTTGCCTCATTAATCAACTTGTAGAACTTTCTCGCATCCTCATTGTGAGCTTTACTACTTTCCTCTGCATCAACCACATTTCTAAATGTGTCATACAATAAACCACCAATGTCATCAAGTGAGTTCTCTTGCTCTTTTGTGTCCTCCTTAATTTTCATAGGCGATGGTATATCCTCTCCATGGTTTACCCAAACATCACATCCTTTCACAAAACCTACAGCTATTAAATGATTGCGGACCACATGTCTTCTTTCCCATTTACAATTTGCACAATGAGCACAAGGACAAGAAATTTCATGTCCTTGAGGTCCTTCTGTGGTATAGGCAAAATCTAAAAAAGACTTAACACCTTTTCTATACTTCTTCCAGTATCTTGGGAGTTTAGTCCATGCTTTGTCCATACCTTTAGTCTAATTTAATTACAATATTTTAAACATCCATCAATAAATTTATAAACAAATAAAATGTATAAACACATAAGGATACACTATTATTGACAAACTAACACAATATTAACACATAAAATAATTTAACTATCAACAAACACAGTATTAACATATTATATAACTAACAACTTAATATCACTATTCACACATAAAACAAACAAGTTCAAACTCTCTAACAAGTTCAAACCATTAACTAATCACCTAGTTGTCTAAGCCTAACAGTTAAATGAACCAATTTTACTAACCTCTAACAATCCTAACAAAATGCTAACAGTTAGCTAACCATAACTATTTTTCAAATGCTATTAACATTAAATTAGCATAACAGTTAACTAACATCTCTAATTCTAACATTTCAACTAACATAACAAATAACCCTCTAACTGTCAGATCAGGTACTTTGGGTTTCGTCGATTTTTGGGTGGCGGATAGACTTCCAACAAGATCGAATTTGGCGACCAGGGGAGTAATATCTAATGCCCACGATGCGGTATGTGTGTGCTGCTTTCACAATATTGAATCTTTGGTTCACATTTTCGCTTCTTGTCCAAAAATTCTGTTGGTTTGAAAAGCAATCTATCTTTGGGCAAAGATAGAGTGGGGCAGTTCAGAAAACTGTTGTCATCATTTACTGCATTGGTTTGCAAAAGCGGTTGAAGAGTCTTCAAAAAAGACGACTTCTTTAATTTGGATGTGTACATGCTGATATATTTAGGGACAAAGGAACCAAATCATTTTTAATGACAAATTTGGATCGGTAGAAAAAATTGTTAATAAAATTATTGTTACCTCTCTTAGAGTTGATTAGTTACTTGCAATTTCTATGAATGATATAAACAACCTTTTGATTTTTTATAAAATATTTATTATAACTTCATAGCAAAGGTGTTCTTTGTATCCTTCGGTCGGAATATTTCCCATATTCCTACCTTAATGCAATTCCTTTGATTATATATAAAAACAAGTCTCTTAAATAATGTTACAAAATTTATATCAATAAATAAATTCAAATAGATCAATCCAAGTATATCATTAATCTCTAATTCACCCTCTCCAATAATAGAAATAAGACAAACAATTACATTTTTTCTATTTGAGCATAATTGGCTTGGAACTACTTGCAAATTATCCCAATCACAACGTTGGTCAATTTTGTACTAAAAAACACATCTGTCAAATATGTATTTTGTCAAACAAAACATCTTGTCAATATGTATGTAATCCTTTATCCTTTTCTAACTCTGCTACTACTTTTTCCTTCCTGGCAAAGTTTAACTTTTATAACAACTAGTTAAGCAGTTTTTGAAATTGATATCGTCTCTTATAAATTAACTCAGATTTTAATGAAAAATACAAATACTTTTTTTTTCCAAGTAAACTTTGATGATTATATATATAACTAGAAGTTATAAAATGCCAGAAAATGTGGGTTGAGGTCTTTTCCATTTTCTGTTCACTCCATTTGTTTCATTATTGTAATTTAATGTATAAAATTCTAAAATATATGACGTATATTAGAGATTTATGTAAGTTTATACATACAAAACTATAATAAGACATTTTATTTTTTTTAAATGTAGAGAAACCATAAATATTTTGAAATAGTATTTTTGTATAAAATGATAAACTAATATTTATTGTTTATATATTTTTAATTTTCAAATAGTTATTATAATATAAAATATATTTGGAAACTGACACTAAGATATCAAACCATTATATTTCCCTATAAATATGACCGAGTTCTCCCCTTTCATTGTCATCCATAGTTCAACATCTAAACATACAAAACATTAGTGTTTATTTCTCAACAATGGCTTTCAACAAGCTTAGTGCACTCCTTATATTGCTTTCTTTTCTTTCTTATTCCATTTATTCACATGCTTGTGAATCATGCAATCCAAAACCTAAGCCTACTCCTCCACCACCTGCGCCTTGTCCTCCACCACCTTCAACAACGCCTAAGGCCTCTCCTCCTCTTACTCCATCAACAACACATCCTCCTCCTACTCCATCAACAACACCTACCACTAGTACTCCACCTCCTTCAACAACTACACCTACGGCTAGTCCTCCTACTCCTTCCACATCACAAAAATGTCCTAGTGACACTTTAAAGCTAGGTGTATGTGCTAATCTTCTTGGACTTGTTAACGTTGTTGTTGGAAGTCCTGCTTCAAGCAAGTGTTGTGCATTGATTCAAGGTTTGGCTGATTTGGATGCAGCAATATGCCTTTGTACTGCAATTAAGGCCAATGTTCTTGGTATCAACTTGAACGTTCCTGTCACACTCAGTCTCTTACTTAGTGCTTGTCAAAAATCCATTCCCTCTGGTTTCCAATGTTCATAGACTTTCATGTTATAGGTTCAATCCATACAAGTACTTTTGTTACTACTACTTTCATTGCTGTTTATATTTTAGTAATTGTTTATGTTAATAATTGGAACTACTATGATTTTAACAAAATCAGGGTGACATCGTGATTCTGTTAAATTATCATCAATCCAAATGTAATGTATGTCATTTCAATAATGGGGTAAGCATGTTTGCCTTATTTACCAACTTTGTTCTTCTTAATTTTAATATATATGGAGACTTTTGATTAATTTGTGCATTGAATCGTTAATGGTAATTTTTACGTGTTTATTTGATTTTGGACTTGTGAGAATTGGACCACAGCATGTAAGCGGCATAGTTATAGGAATATGTTAAACTTTATTCACAAAAATAGCAGTGACACCATCTTAGCTCTTTTATTTTTAAAAGAATGGTTAGTATTTCAACTTTATAAATTCAAAGCTTAGTTTTCTAACGTTGATATCAGAAGTATGATTAAGTGTAATTTTTTCAAAGGCGGAATAACATAAACATGCAACAACATCACTAGGTGGGATCCACCACCCGTATCAAATTATGTCATAATATTTTTATTTATCTTGTTAAAGTAAATATTTTTTTTATAGTTTTTTCATGATTTTAAATTATGCTGCGTTGAATGTGATTATAGTTGATTGCGCTCAATATGGTCAATGTCCCGCACATTTTGGCCGTTGGAGCAAGAATTTTGTTTGGAAGGTTCTATAAAATCATAGTTAAGAGAAAAATATTATTTTGGAGAAGAAAAAATGTCAGGGATCCTCGTTTTATTGATTCTAAAAAAAATTAAATGTCTGATATAAAACAAAAAAAAAAATTAGATAAATAAAATAAATATTTAATTATATGATTATTTAAGAACACAAACCTTAAACCTAAATAATTTTTTGTTCTTATAATTCACTTTATAGAAAAATTTTCAAATAAAATAAATATTTTTTTAAGATTCAAAGTATTCATGTCAAATGTTTCATTATCAATTTTCAATATTCAAAATTATTTTATAACGAGGGTTTTAGGTTTCACGGAGATCACTAATTGCAGTGTCTTGAGTGTTGTTACGCATTAAATGGACGACTAATATTCGTATAAGAACGGTGAAGAAACTCATTAAACACACCTATATTTAAGAAAACACAATACAATACGTTTCATCCCAAGCGCCACATACCTCTTGGTTTCTGAAAAAATCGAGTGAAAAAAACTCTTTTTTAAAAAAATTATATTATTTACACAGAATATAAAAATAAATTGTTTAAACAAATATAAATTTTGACACTGAATTCTTGGAGAACAATTAATCTTTCCAAATTTCTACTAAGTTATTATCTGTTTCAACTAAGAGAATTTTTTTTATACTTGTAATCCATCCTTAAGAGATTTTTTTATCTTGAGTAAATATTTTCATGGCAAATGCTTTCACATGAAAGAGAGAAAGATGATTGTGTTTAGGAGTAAATTTTTTAATGTTGTCAACGGAGGAAAGTAATAAATTTTTCAATATTTTCTTTGATTGACAACATCAACACCATTATGTTGGGATGGATTGCAAGAGCAAGAAAAAATGTTTTGTTCAAGATATAGAAGAATATTGAAGATTTTTTCTATCTTTCAATCCATCCCAAAAATGACATGTACAAGTTTGGAGCGGTTACATATAAGTTAGGTCTAGAATAAAATATGATTAGCTAGTACTTTTATAGTAAAATATAAGAATCTAATCCTTCGGTTATTTAATATAACCAAAGAAGTAGATCATTAATTTAAAAATAAAAATAAAATAAAAAAAAGGTACCACTTTTAAAGAAATAAAAGCATAAACTGATGTTACTGGGATGCAAAGCATGTATGAAATTATTTTTTCCCTTGGTTAAAATTTAAAAACCGAGGGAATATGTGGTATATAGTAACAAAAACATGGCACGCCTTGATATTATACCTCAATTAACTAATATGATTCCTCTTACGATCTTACGCGTGATTTTAAATCACACAACAACATAATTGTACTCGTAATTTCTCTTATAATTTTTATAATTCTTTCTCTACATCTAGTTATTGGACTACTTTTCACTTAGTCTAGTCCCCTTACAAATTATCCACAACTCCTCTCTCTTCATGCTCAAACCACCTAAGCTTAGATTCACTTCTCGCTTAACATTTTGTCATGTATAACATCATTTGTCTTACATCTAAAATTTTCCATTTAGTTTAATGATACTTTCCTCTTACAAAAACAACTTAAGACCCTCCTCCATTAAAATAGTTGGACCCAAGTTATTAAAATTGTTTAACATGTGATACGATATGACATCCAACTTTCACCACTAATAGATAAATGTGTAATTGACTCGAATATCACCATTGATTTTACACACATATTTAATTACTTGTGAACAAACTAACGATAAAACCCTAATTTATTCATATAAAAAATTATTGTCCTATAGTTTAAAAATGATCCTTAATTATCATTATTTTATATAATAGTAATGATCATTGAAATGTCATGTCAAATGATCAATGAGTCTTAACTGAAGATAATGGAAGCCAAGTTTTTAAGCAAACTTGATGGGCGAGCCAATATTCGGTCAGGTAACTAAAACACTATTACAAAATAAGTCTTTCGCAACACCAATAATACGACGACCATAGTGTTAACCATGGTAATAGATTAATCATGGGCGCATATTTTTTTTATTTAATAGAGAACATGTCACAACAGTGAAATGTAGCAACCATAGTGAAAAGAACACAGAGTGAAATGGTTCGAATCTCGTCACCAATAATTAGTCATTTATTATGATAAGAAATGTTATTGACCATGTATATCACCGCAGTTTTTATTCCCAACTGTGATGAAACATGATATTTATTTATATATAAGCGAAATTATCTATTGCTTTAGTACATAATAGTCGTCTCTCTCAAAACAAAACCCTAACAATTCTTTCAATCATCTCTCAAAACAAAATTCTAACAACTCTGTCACTCACCTCTCTCATATAGAAACCCCAAAATGATACCATAACAAAAAACCTTAGCCAGTGGGTATTTACAGGTTCGTTTTTTTCTATAGTTTTTTTCCTTCAAAATCTATTTCAATAGCTTGTTTCATGATGTTTGAACTTTCTTCTTTTTTCGTCTTGTAGGTATGAATACTTATTGCAAAAAAGGAGACGAAGATAAATTTAGCCTAACAAACTTGTGTCAAGATCCAGAATGACATTCATTTAAAATATACATAAGTTTGCTGGTCTAAATTTATCTTTATCCTTATCTCATTGTTGACACGCTATTATGGGATTGGACATGTATGGTATGTTTTTGAAGCATTTTATGCCTTGATATGTTTGTTATATCGTGTTTGTTGTTAATGAATGTTTTTGATGAAAGTTGTTGTTAATGTCTGTTTAAAAGATGAGTTTATTATATATTATGTGGTTTGAGTGTTTTTCAATCCCTTACAGAATATATAACTTCCCAAACAACATTAGAAAGTTATGATATGATAGATAAAATTGTATTAGAAAATAAGTACACGTCCAATTTTTGACAAGTATTTTTCAGACTATTAACTGCATATGTTGTTCTTTGACTATTAGAACTTGGTTTAAAGATTATAGATCTCTAACCACCCCTCTCTCCACCTCTAATTTTGTTTTCTAAGTAAATAATACTTTGAAATAACAATGAGAGGTGAAGATAATGGCAGTTGAAAAACTAGGACCATTAAACCATGTTCTTACTGTCAAAGAACAAAATACAGATAAGGACTTGAAGAACTCTTATCAAGCATTGAACATGAACTTATTCTTCTAATATAACTTAATTTGTCATATTATAATGTTCTAGTGTAGATTGGAAGGTTACATGTTTAGTGAGCATTGGCAAAAATAAGGATTCCACATAATTTATAATAAACTCAGGGCTATATTTAACAACGGTTGTCTAGAACAACCGTTGTTAAATCTACTGCATTTTAATATACCACAACGGTTATTTAAAGTAACAGTTGTGGTAGGTAGCATACTACATGTATACAATCACGGTCGCACATCCTTGGTTGAAATCATCATACATACAATCGCACTTTACGTCACAACGATTGGACCTGTGTGATGGTATCCCTTTTCCAACTGTTGTGATATGGGTTTTTTGTAGTAGTAAGGATAGAAGAAACCTCATCCAAAACAAAGAAATTTTTCTAAGCAAACCATGAATGTGTTAGTGAATTAATGGAGACTCAAATGCGATTTAAAGAAACTTGGAAGATTAGAAATTTATAAATAAAAACTTGGTATGTTATTTGGATGAGTTTGTTAGAGATAAATACAAGAGAGAGAGAGAGAGAGAGAGAGAGAGAGAGAGAGAGAGAGAGAGAGAGAGAGAGAGAGAGAGAGAGAGAGAGAGAGAGAGAGAGAGAGAGAGAGAGAGAGAGAGAGAGAGAGAGAGAGAGAGAGAGAGAGAGAGAGAGAGAGAGAGAGAGAGAGAGAGAGAGAGAGAGAGAGAGAGAGAGAGTTCTTATAGACATATCGAAGGTAGGTCAAAGTTGATATCGATGGAAGGATGAGAGATTTCTCAATATTGCTCTACACTAATAGAAAAGAAACTTTTAGTGGAGGCCATTATTGGACTCTAAACCTATAAACCTATGCTAAGTGATTTTAGCGACGACTTTAGTGTTAATGTCAGGTCTTGGATAAAATCTTTGAAGTTATGGTGTAGCGTCGACTAAAAAGCAACCATGGCTAACTAGCCTCCGCTAAGCTGAGTCTAAGCAAACGCTAGCAAAGGCCGACACTAAAGTCAATTTATATAAATCAACAAATACACGTAGTATCAGTATGATTGACATTAAAGTCAATAAAGTAAATACAACAAATAAATGTAGCATCGGTTAGGCCGATGCTAAAGTCAACTCAAAAAAGTCAATAAATATGTGTAGCATCGGTCTAGCCGACGCTAAAGTC